TTGCGGAGTCGGAAAAAATCATCCTCTGCGCTTGGAGTGCTGCCTGTGTTGTCCTTCATCTCGTCGTCGGACTCGAACTCTGTAACGGTATGCTTTCCTGACTTCTACAATTTTTCGTTTTACCGTTCGGAGACAACCCTAGTGTTTATTTGGTTGTGACTTTGATTTGTGGAGACGGGATAGTGTTTGGTTTGATTGTGACTTTGGTTTCTAGAGATAGTGTTAGACTTTGGTTGTGATTTTCGCATCAATTTTTTGGTAAAGTTTGTTCTTCAATTTGACCTAATTTTTTTGTACTTGAGTATGTGAAATTTGATAATTTCTGCTTGACTATGTTGGCGGCAAACTGGAATGCTTGAAATGCTTGGTTTCTACTTGGAATGCTTGAGTATGTGAAATGGGTGTGATAATTTCTGGTTGGTTTCTGGAGATAGTGTTAGACTTGGCATATAATATCTTGTGATTGGAATGCTTAAAATGCATTGGAATTGTTTGTTTTATTTTTGCGAATGTGTGTTTTTTCCTCACTGCCTATACTTGCACACTCTGAAGCTTCTAGGGTGCAGGTGAGGCAAAAAAAATCCATTTGGATCTCCTCATGGTCAGGGTTTGTTCTTCTAAAATCTAATTCACACGATTAAGTGACAAGTTATATATTGCATTATTTTAATGTATCCTCAAATTGTCAGTTTATGCTCAATGTGTACAATCCAAAGACAAAATGAATCATTTGCTTGAAATGAGTGGTTGTTGGACAGCATTCTCACGTAGATAAACCACTACATTATCAGTGAAATTTTCTTGAAACCATAACATAATATTCAATTTCCAGCAAAAGGTAAAGTACAATACATATTTCAAACAGGAGCTACTATTACGTAATTGATTATTTTGTACTCTGCATTGATTCGTAGTCATTTTTGTCATTGTGGGTTGAATGCGTTTTTGCATGTGTTGTCATGCTCTTGGTCATGATATGGGAAATTTGTCATTGTGGGAAATTTGTGGGTTGAATCCGGATTTTCCTACTTTGTTTTCAAACGTTTAGGAGGATACTTTCCTTTTCCTTATTTTTAGGGATTTCATACATTCTTTACTTACGTAAATTGTGTATATAAGTGTGTATTGGTTGCCGCCTAATTATAATGAGAAAAAGAAGTGGATTCTTCCTCAAAATCTTAAGCGTGTGTAGATGCCAAGGAAAACTAGAGATGAGAGGCCACTTTTTTAGAGCCCTACTGCAGAGGCTTTTCTGCTAGAGAGACTGTACAAACACCACGACAATAACCACGATCGCCAACCAGAATCTCGTCACTATAACCATTGGGCCTCAGAAATGGCCACCTTTTATGGCTATGTTCCCGAAGGTGAGCATCTTCGGGAGAAACGCCGCCGACTGGGTAAGCTATACGCCGCGTACAAAATGTTACAAAATCATACAAGAGTAGGTTGGGATCCTATCACTACAACTTTTACCTGCTCGGAGGAGCTGCAAAAAGATCTTTCTAAGGTAACATATGGGATTCATTATACTCACAAAAACCATCCTCATATTTGAACAACCACAAATTTACCCATCTACTAAGAGGTTACTAACCAGTTCTCTAATTTCTTTATAAAGAAACCGCGATGCGAAAACATTGTTTACTAGTGGTTGGAAGTTGAACGAGGTGTACTTGGCTGCCATTTTCTAAGTAGAGTTGGAGCTTCTGGTTTAGGTGCATATCACCCAAATGCAGCAGACGAGGCAGCGGATGATGCACCCGTTGAAGATCTTACTGCTGCTGATGAACAACAACAAGCTAACCAAGATGCTCCATACCAGAATATCGATGATGAAGATGTTCGTAATGATCTTACCGAATGAGTCGATCGTTATGGACATCGAAATGTCACAAATATCGCCTCATCGTCACGTGTGATTCGGAAAAAACGGTCCACAGCAAGGAAATCTAATGATTCTTCGCGAGACATGCTACTCTCTCTAGTAAAGGAATTGAAAGATGATTTGAAGGAAGAGTTTCGTACAAGCAAAGAAAGCCAGCCAAGTTACAACACCGTAAATGGCCCTAGTGAAGCTGACATCATCTTAAATTCGCTTGGGGAAATGGGAATTAATAAGCGTACGCAAACTCATACTTTTGACAAAATCATGGCTTCCCCCACTTGGCGGCCAGTCTGGGGGTAGACTTGATGAAGACATCAGGCGGACCTTTATTAGCGACTTTGTTGAAGTCCCACAAACTCCACTTGTGCATCATACTCAGGATCCTTATGGCCAGCCATCTCGCAACTTCTCTCAAGTCCCAAATCCTTACAACCAGCCACCTAACCCATACAATCACCCACCTAACCCCTATAACCAGCCCCCTAATCCATATAATCAGCCTCCACATCCCTATAACCAGCCCCCAAACCCCTACAACCACCCACCTACGCCTTAGATGGCCAAGTGTAGTTTTACATGGTCCCATTTTCTCCCATGGTGGACCACGGATTAGTGTCTAGTAATAGCATTCGAGTGTTGTCTACTTAGACTGCTTTATTTGAGTAACTTGTTCTCCACTGTAACGTTTAAGTTGATTATGAGTTGTATTATTTATTTCTGAGTAATGTGCTTGGACCATTGTTCTGGATTGTTGTGATGTAATTGATTTACAAACATTTGAGTTGTTGGACCATTTGAGTAATTGTTTTAAATACACTTGAGTTATAACCAATTCCTATTTTAGTATGGAAATTGTGCTACACGAAGTGGATAAGTACAATTGAGATCGTACTTGTAATAACTTGTTTGGTAATGTGTCGTTACAGGTTAATGTGTAAAGCAACATAATGAAGCTAGAAGGATCAACGAACAAACGTCATGAAGTGGATTCAGGAAGAGCTTCCCGCCGAAGAAGGGTCTACCTTGTAGCAATAGCAGCCGCTACAGCCGCAGCTGCCTTTATTTTTGATGACCAAGTACCAAGGCTGATGCATAACTCATCTTTAAGGGGTATAGACAAAGTGAATGAGTTATTAGCAAACAATAATGAGGCTGTAATTTTTAACAAGGTGCATATGAGACCACGTGCATTTATGATTCTTTGTGAAGTACTAATTGAGAGACGTTTGTTACAACGCACAAACAACATGAACGTCCCAGAATAAGTATTTGTCTTTTTAACTATCATTGCACAAAGTCAAACTAATCGTGAGGCACAAGATGTATGGCAACATTCTGGGGAGACCATTTCACGGAGATTCAGTGATGTCCTACACGCCATTTGTGCACTGCATAGATATGGGACATGGTTTGACGTAAGTTGTGCTTCTCAATTTTATCAATTTCAGTAACCTTTTTTAACTTGTGTTTCTTATTAATATGTTACAACTGTGGTTTAGAAAGATACTCACCTCTTTCATTCTGGAACTAATGTTCAGGACTGTGTAGGCGCAATTGACGGGATGCATATACCTTGCACAACGATTGGTGTTCAAAATCTAACGGCATAAGGCAATAGGAAGGGCGTCAACTCTCAGAATATAATGGCAACATGTTCCTTCGACATGAAGTTCACGTACATGTTAACTGGTTGGGAAGGTTCAGCACATGATGCACGAGTGCTTGCGAATGCGGTCGGCACGCAGAGGTTTAACTTCCCACATCCACCGCCTGGTAAGACTTCAAACCAGCCATATGATTCTCAGTTTATTACCTGTTACAACCTCCAAATTCCAACAAAATTCGTTTAAGTTGCACAGGAAAATATTATCTTGCTGACGCAGCATATGCGAACAATGATTGTTTTCTTGCTCCATATAGAGGTGGGACATACCATTTGCCTGACTACCAAAGGAGAAGTGGTGGATTTAAGGAACCTAAAGATATTTATAACTACAAACACTCTTCCTTGCGAAATTGTATAGAGCGAACATTTGGTGTTTGGAAGGTTAGGTTCCCTATCCTAAGGCGGCCCAATAATACTTATTCAATGAACAAACAAGTGAAGATTCCAGTGGCATGTGTAATCTTACATAATTTTATTCACATGGTAAGAGAGGGGGACCCGCTTCTAAATCAATACTACCGTGATGGAGTACCGGTTAGTGAGATAGATCCAACCAATATTGATGAATTTGATGACGATGACAATGACGACAATGTCCCCGAGGGCCAACAGTAACAGGAGCTATTGTTAGCCGAACAGAAATGGGTCGTTTTAGGGATCGCCTAGCAAATAAAATGTGGGCGGAATACCAGAGAAGCCGTGGGAGACAAGTTTGAAAGTGCAAATTGGTTATGGGATTCTGCAATATTACTTCATATTCATGTATCAATTATATTTGCAACATGAATGACTATTAGTTGCCTACTTTCTGCTAGACCTTTCACATGAAGTATTAGTCAAGTTTAATTTCCTTAGTGGATTCGTTGCAATTTTGGGATTTTGAGATTAGATTTGGAGTGTTTACCCCAGTATAGGTTGGAATAGATATAGATATATATATATATATATATATATATATATATATGTTCTCTCTTTCCGATTTAAGGATCCTAAGCTACGAGTGTAGTTGCTTGAATCTCTGTTTTTACATAATACAAGTTGCATGAAAATCAAACTAATAAGCAGCTAGGCCTTGCATAGCTGCCACAGAGACTGAGGATGAGGACGCTGGTGAGACAAGCAACTATAGTGTGGGACAGGAATGCTTGGATCAGCTTTCTTGAAGTATAGCGTTTGTTACAGGTAAGAAAGGTTCTTTATTTTCTTGTATGGTATTTCATAATATGTTCCTGGTACTTCTAGGTGATGTTAAAGAGTTTGGACCATGTGGTGGCAATGGTCTTGAACTCATTTTGTGATCCCCATGGTTTGGCCTCTCTTATGCGGAACTTGTCTTGGTATTTTAACATTGATTGCTCCTTGTCTAATCGAATTTTATTTTGTCTATTGTTCTGAATTCTTGTCCAGACTTTGGAGAGCGAATACCTATTTATGACTATGACAATTGCAATAATGGAAGAGCAAATCTACAAGGTCAAATCTGGTAGGGCAAACTGTTTTGAACTGGAATTGAACATATATGGTTCTCCTTTTTTATAGGCAAATACACTGAAGCGAGCATGCTTTTTTTTTTTCCTTTGTTTTTTTTTTTTGGGTTTTTCCCCTTTTTGTTCATGAGTTCCGACAACCTAAACTTTATTTATATTTTTATTACAGATGTGAGTGAGATGGGTGGTATACACTTTGTGAAGTACCATTCCAAAATAGGCAAACGGAGACATGGACAATTGTTTTGTTTGCTGTTACATTGAGTTCGTCAACCAACTGTTTTATGTATATGTTGCAATTTTCTTCAAATGGAGAAGATCGAGTGGTAGTTGGGACCCTTGATGTTAACCAATGCATAAGGCTTCTAGATGAGATAGTTGGAAAGAAACCACAGGTATTTGATCAAATGTTAATTCATAAATCTGTGTACACACGGATCAGAACTTGCATTATTATGACTATGATTCTTATTGGCAGGAATTGGAGAGACTATTAGCTGTGAAGGAAGGTACTTTGCCTCAGCAACCAGCCTCAGATGATGATATTTCTATAACACTTTTGGTGCGAATGCTAGATGGTAAGTATTGGAATTGCTTCATTCTTTACATACTGAAATTCGATTGAATTGTATGTTGCTTAGGGTATTCAATAGAAATGTTTGTGCACTACTGTTATGTATGTGCTTCATGAGTTGACATATTATTCCTCCCATGTTAAGGAACTATAGTTCGTTTGGCTTTAAACAAAAAAAAAGAGTTCCAGTGGTAGAGGCTATAACCATTTTTCTCCATTACTTTCTGTTACATATGTAGCCTGTTTTTCTCCATTCACAGCTTATTTTTCTTCTTGTTACTTCTTTGTAGGAAAGGCTATAACCGGATGATTGTATCAAGGAATGAGGTTGCCATTGAAAATTTATCTAGTACCTCGAATAACGTATTTGATTTGGCGAATTTGGTCTTTGAGGATTCTGCATTCTAACGATGGTGATGTGCTGAAACGACTCTTGCCATTGATCCGGACCCTTTCTTATATTATACCACCATTACTTTTCGTTTATGGTGTGCTACTTTTCCTTTTGTATTTTACCACTGTTATTACTCATTATTAGCCAATGGCATTGTAGTTACTGTTATATTGAGTTCAGGTCAGCAGATTGCACCTAATCCTTGTGGGTTGTACCTCTAGCTACTTCTTTCCTTTTTTCTTGCCACTTTTTAATTACTTGTGTTCCGTTTAACATTTTTGTCCGAATTGATTAATAGTAGGTGCATCAAATCATTTTTTTGGCTTGTTATATAATGGGAGACAAGTTTGATATATGCTTGGCTTTTTATATAATTTTATTTACATTTTTTTCATTTATTTCTCACTTAGCTTGTTATAATTTTGAGTTATAATTATTTGCATAATTTTTTTCTAGTACTTCATTTTTTTAATTATATAACTAATTATATTTTTTTAAAATTACACGTAACGAATTATATTTATTATATACTTTTTTAAATTACATTATTTTAGTCATGATTCAAATTCAGAAAACAAGACAACTAAACACTGGTTCGAATCACATTTCATGTTAGAATCAGAATTATGCATATACACATCCAAACGAAGGTTGTAATCACTTTGAATTATGAATTATGATTCAAATTAAAAGACTTAAATCACCCTGATTTCAATCCTTATACCAAACGGACTTTTAATTGTCCCTCTACAAGCAACATGAGTATACTTTTTCATAAAAAAAGAGGTACATACTTGCATTTTTGCAACAGGGTATTGTGATTGCAAAAGGAAAAAAAAAATGAAATAAAATAAATTAAAATAGAGCATAGTGTATGTCAGTTACCATGGAAGCAAAGAGGATAATTAAAAATACAAACTACGATTAAAGTAGATTATTTCAATTGATCTTGAAATATCTTTAGAATTTGCAGCTTGACCTTTAATAGTACAGAGAGATTTTTTCTTCTTGGTGAAAGAAGTAGAGAGTTGATGAATTGGTTTTATTTCTTGACGGGGGGGACGACGGAAAAAGAGATGGAGGAGAGAGAAGATGTCAGAGAGGAAAGGAGAGAGATATTTACTCTGTGTGCTAGCGGAGGGTCCCGTTTGATCACTTTCAGTGTTTTAAATAAGTGGGATGCATTGAAAATTTGATGCATGGAGACTTAAAACCCTTATAAGATACGCTTTTCTTAAAACGTTATTTGTTCCCCCTTGATTGAGATTTGCTTTGAATTTCAACAGTTGATCGCTTCTGGAGATTTACAGTAGCAAAGAACTGAAAAGTTTTAGAAGAAAATAATAACAGAATAGAGTCTGAGAGAGCGAGTGCTATAAATATTGAATGGGATGGTTTATTTGTAGTGTTTGTTCTCCATTTATAAATTTAAAAACACCATTTCAGAGAAACTGCTTCCCTTTCTAAAAAAAAATTAAAATTTGAATTGCACGGTCACCTTTTAGAAACTCAAATTAAATTAAAATTTATTTATTTATTTTAAAATCTGAATTTTAAAATAAAATAAAAAATATTTTATTTAGACAGTATTTTTCTCTGCATGCCACGTGCAGTGTCAAGTGCGCCTAATGAGCACTATAACTTCACTGCCCATGTCAAGCGCGCGAGCGACAAAGTTGTGTCTCTTAACACTTTCATAATCCAATCAAAAGTCTTTATAACATACCTTATAAACCCACTAAGAGATGTGACCCTTTAGAAGGTACTCAAAAGTCTTATGCCTTTCCCATGTGAGACTATGAAATGTTATACTCTCTTTTTTTAAACTTGAACAACACTAACATGATGAAGTGTTAATTATTCATTTGATGGACAGAGATTCTTGACAGAGGATCCGGGTTCTTGTCTATTGTTCATATTTTGTTGGGTGTATAGCTACTATATTTAATTACATTCGACTGTTCTTATTGAGTAATGATACAAAAGCAAAGAACAGTTATTTGTAAAATCTATCTAGTTTTAGCTTGAATTAGAGACAAATGACAGCTTGCAGTACTCGCTGTTTCCTTAAGTAGACCATGGCCGCAGTGTTTGTATGGTGAAAAATTCTCTCAAATTTGGTGACACATGGGGAAAAAAGATCCACGTTTAGACAAACATTTTAGAACACAAGTTACGATCCACAAACAAACATGTTTTTCGTTTTGTTTTGTTTTTTTTTTTTTTTTGTTATTAATTATTCATATTTCCGGGGAGCAGACGTAACGATTTGGAGTTTGGAGTACACTTGGTTATAAGGGCTATGGTTGGGGAAAGTCTTCATATTCGTCCTTTTCTATACTATTGTTGTTTTATTGTCAATGCCCTTTAATGAGTTTTACATCGTTCTTGTAATTTGTCATTTCTTAGTTACTTGATTTCTCATCATTTTTCAATTTGGGTGGTGTTGTTTTGAGTTTCTGTTTTCAGTCTAGGGATAATTAAAAAATTGAAAATGCGACGTTCCACGCACATTTTTATTAAAAAAAAAAATTACAAATAACAAAAGGGTTGTTCTTTTGGAGTGTAAGTTGAGTGTAGTTTTTGAGTTAAATTTAAGTTATAACTTGAGTTGAAGTTAGAACTTGAATAAAGTTGAAACTTAAAAGAACGTGAACTTGAATAAAGTTGAAACTTGAGTTATCTTTTTTTGAGTTTTTTTGACAAAAAAACATGCCCATTGTTTCTCCACTTTAACGTGGACTCATACACTAACAGCTTTTGTTTTAAATATCCCAAGTACTCTTAGACTCCGTTCTTTTCGCTGATTCGAGTTTTACTACAGTAAAAAGCTCTCAGAAACAGTCACATCTAACTTTTTTGCTACAGTAAAAAGCTCTCACATAACATCACATCTCAACTCGAATTAAAAACTCGAATTAGCGAACCGAACAGGCCCTTAATTACTATTTAAGAACTAAAAAAATACATTCAAAAGATTAAAAAATATACACGAACAAAAATCTGAGGATTTAGGCCTGGGACCGACTACTCAAATTTTAAGGGCTGGTTTAGAAGGTGGATTCAAATCAGGCGATTTGAATCAAAATTCAAATTTTTAAAATTGTCGTGAGAAAAAATATTATAATAGAACTTTTAAAGTTTAAATTTTCTAATAAAATAAAACACTATTTGAACTCAGACCAAGGTATTTTGAGCCCATCCTCAGTGACTCACGATCGTAGTGGTAGTCACTACCCTTCCATAATCCGTCATGACCTTTTTTTTTATCATGACAAATGGTTGCAGCCCTTTTACAAATGTTGGGTTGCTACTCGACCATGGGTTGGAACCCTCGCTACCCCGCTGTCTCCATGGGTCGCAACTCGCAAGCCTCTCCTGCTTGTGGGGTAGGAGCGATGTGGCCTCTATGGTTATTATTCAAAAATTGAAAAATACAGAAAATTAGGATTTACTAGTACAATTTATTCTTTAAGAAAAGATAAAAGTATCTTTTTTGTTTTATAGAACACATAAAAACTCAGAGAGAAAAAAAATAGATCGCATGAAAAGCCTCTTGCAAATTTGGTAAATTACACTCTAAACTTTAAACTTAATAGCAATTGCTAATAACTAACAACCATTATCAAATTGATGATTTGAGACATAAAAGTTAAAGTTAGTCGTTTTTCAAACCATGTCAGTAGAAATATCGTATCCTTGGACTTCACCCCACAGGACATACAATATCGTACATACATGAACATGTAAATAATCATTATAACAGACATCAACCACATTCTAGTTAATCCGAATATTACATAAGTTTACATAATTCTCAGTTCCTTACATTTATACCCGAGGATGACCACAATCCTCACTTGATTCTAACAGCAGCACAACTCAGCTGCTCCGTAGCAAATATCCAACTATTGTGCACCACTCCTAGAGTCTCCTGGGAGGGGTTTAATACATTTGAAACATAAAACGTGAGCGAAAGGCCCAGTAGGATATAATTTGAAATAAACGTTATAAATAAATGAATAATAAATGTGCGAGGGAATACGTAAATGAATAAGTAAATAAAATAAGACATTCAGTCCCGATAGAACAACCGGAACCTTACATCCTTTTTTTCAAAGGAAATATAACTGTAAATAACTGTTTTACAGGCTTCAGCAAGTAATTAGTACAAATTACTTACCTAACCAAGTGCCTCGCCTACCCGGACCGAGTTTCGGGTTCTGCCCCCGAGGATGCACTCTCCGCATCCTATCTAGGCTTACAGCAATAGACTCTATTACCAGTTCACAAGATCTCTTTGCTTAAGAAATCATTTATTAACATTTTGAAATCGTTAATACGACCCCACGAACTACTCAAGCCGTGGGCCCCATGACTGGACAAGCCATGAGGTTCCATGACTAAACAAGCTATGGATTCCATGGACAGGACAAGCCATGGATTTCTATAAACTAAACAAGCCATGGTTTTCAAAACGTTTTTCTTTCGCAAACCAATCCATTTCTTTAAAACATTTCCAAGGCCGAAATTCTTTTTGAAAACAGGCTTACAAGGAAAAGGGATAGAAATCGTACCTCGCACTATCAAACCTGAGATTAGCGTTGCCTTCTCCGGCTTTCACTTCCTTAAGCCCCTTCAATCTGAATCCTCAGCGATCACTGATGCAAGGCAACACTTTAGGATTAATTCTCATTCCTAAAGCAATCTAAATCTCAATTTTCAACCAAGATTTCTTATTAGTGTGCCCTAATCCATTTTCATGTTTCATATTATCATTCCAAGGGTTTTCAATCTCAAATCAAGGATTAACAATGATAATCCATCTATCTCAAGTCCCCAAATGAAGCTAATTTGGGTTCTCCCCGAAAACAGGGGTCAAAACAACATTTTCAGGCCAAACAGGGTCAAACCCCGTGTCAACCGGTCGACCGGTGACAGAGCAGTGCAACACTACCGGTCAACCGGCAGTGTGCACACCGGTCGACCGGTCAGTCTACAATCAGTCCCAAATCAAAATATTTCAAAGGAAAACCACTAAATCTGGGTTCTAGGTCCTAAAACAAGTCCAAAGAACCCAAGATCTCCAATTTCTACTTTAGTTTTACTCAAAACCATCAAAATCCGGTTTGAACCAAAAATAAGTTTTGAAATCCAAAAACTTGAGATTCAAGAGAGGTTCTTTCAGTAATCTTACCTTGAATCCTTCTCTTGATGTTGAAAACACTTTGAAACTCGTCTTTGGCTCAAAATCCGTTTGATTTGGGACACAAAACGGGAGTGAGAGAGAAAGAGAGTGAGCGAGAGAGTGAGAGTGAAGGAGAGAGAGAGAGTGCACGGGAAAGGAAAGAGAAAGGAAAGGAAAAAGGAAAAAGGAAAAGAAAAGAAAAGGAAAAGGAAAAGAAAATGACATGTGTACAATATTTTAAAAGAGCAGTCCAGAAATGCGTCCATACACACTTCTGGGTTAAAATAAATTACTAAAAATAATTTAAATACCTTGGAACTATTTAAACTCACACGTGTCAGAAACATTTATTAATTAAACTCAATTAATAATGCAGATTAGGCACACTAATAATCTCAATTACCTTAATTAATCTCAATTAATTTTTCAGGGTGTTACAATAATGCTTGTTAGCTATTGAACATCAATTGCTATTAATTTTAAAATTCAATGTGCAATTTATCAAATTAAAAGTTTGGGATATATTGTCAAAAAAATGAAAAAAAAAATAGGAATAAATTTGCATTATATTAAAGGATAAAATCATTTTGGTACCTATAGTATAATGAAACATCATGTATAATGTAATCATTTTGGTGCCTGATGAGAAGGTTATTTATCGACAATCAAGTATTTTTGAGTTCAAATATTTGTGTCTTCAAGTACTTTTGTCAATTTAATGTGTTTTTGGTGTTATTTTATAGGAAAAATAGTAAAATGGGACTTAGTGGCATTTTAGAGTAAAAAATTAGGGTAAAAAGCACTCAACGCCACACAAAGGCCCTCTTAGGCAGAACCACTTGCGCCGGAGCGCCCACACCACACCCTAGTGGCCACGCAACATTGAGCTCACTGGCGACCCACTAGATGCGCAGCCGCACCTCCCCGTGTGCAATGACAAATTTTGAGCCATTTTTTATCCCTTGATCAATATGGATGGCCAATTTTGGACCCTTGGATGAGTTCAACTGAGATTTTTTCCATGTTTGAGCACACTTGAGCAAAAGAAACTCTAGTTCCCAACTTGGAGAGGATGAGAGGCACAAAAATTCCTAGAGAGAGAAGCTTAGAGTTGGAGATTCTTAAAGAATGCTTGGGAGATATTCTTGAAGATTTGAAGATTTATAGCTCATCTCACAAGAGTTTTCTCTTCCTTCTCCCTTTTTAGTTTTTTAGTTTTTGTTCTTAAATTTGTGATTTTAGTTGTGGATTCCTTTATGTTGAGCTAGACTTCATATTCTAGGGCTTGATGTAGCTTTCTTTGAACCATGTTTGGTTATCTTATCAATTGTTAGTTTAAATTCCATTTTAATTTATTTATGTTTCTCTAGGCTTAATGTTTCTAATTTATGTGGCCAGTGAGTTAGATAATTTTAGATTGTGATTTTTATGCTCGAGAGAGATTGATTTAATAGTATGGAATTGGGAAACATAGTTTAAGTTGTTGTGAGTCAGGGAGGAGATCAACACTTAAATAATCTCGTTGGAAGTTTATGATATTGTGAGACCAGGAGATGATCAAGACCTTGATTATCAACTAGGATTTCGATTGTTGTGAGGCCGGGAGGCGATCGACATTTAAGTTCTAATTTAAGGGCTAAACTTAGGCCTTGTTCGTTTCGCTGATTCGAGTTTTGCTACAGTAAAAAGCTCTCACAAACAATCACATCTAACTTTTTTGCTACAGTAAAAAGCTTTCACATACAATCACATCTCAACTCGAATTCTAAACTCGAATCAGCGAAACGAACGAGGCCTTAATAGTGTATGAGTAAATGGGTTAGATAGGAATATTGATTAAGGTATTCATGCATATGACTTCTTTTGACGCTCGAGAGAGGTAACGAGGTGAGATTAGGTCCCTTGATTAATGAATTGAGTGGAATTGGCTATCATTAACTTAATAGGATGAACATAGGAATGATAAGGTGAAGTCAAGTCCTTAGTATACTTGTGCATATAAGTTTCCATATTTTATCTTATTTTTGTTTTTATATCTATTTAAGTTCTATTTTATTTCATTTAGCTCAATTGTATAGAAAAAGTTGAGTTACGATAATCGCATAACTTAGCGGCAAGTTAACACCCAATCCATGTGAAGACGATACTTACTCACTCTATACTATCAAAACTTGACACTGTACGTTTGTGGGCGAACAAGTTTTTGACACCGTTACCGGGAATTGGCGTTTTAAATTATTACTATAGTATAATGAAAAATTGTGCAGGTACTTTATTGTTTTAACAATATTAAAATAGTACTTGCAGGTTTTAAGAAACAATTTTTTGGTACCCTAAGCTCAATTTTAATACTTATAATATTAATTGTGCCATTACCACTATCTTTCATTAAATGGATAACTCCTTTTTTTTTTTGTTGTTGTAAAAAAACACCATAATGTAATTCGACCATTTATGCTAAATACTGGCAAGGGCACAATTGTTATTTCAAGTACCAAAAATTGAGTTTAGAGTATCAAAATTTTATTTTAATACTTAAAAAATACAGCTTTAATATTATTAAAAAGATTGGATACGCGTGAGATGTTTTGTTGTACTAAAATATGAATGGCAATTTTACTCATTAACCCATTTATTCGCAAGACCCGCATTAAACGGGGTGGAAAAAATCCGCTTTTAATCACGGGTCGCAGGATGAGGACGAATTTAGAAGTCCCCGACCCAATTCCTCGTTTAGCTATCCCGTTTAATTATATCCTCTTTTAAAATTAGATATATTACGTATAATGTGTTATAACACATACTTTTGAGTATAATTTATTACAAAATACATATGAAAATTTTAAATTACCTTTATTTTATTTTTGACTTGATATTTTGTATGGTTGTATTATTTATTTATTTATTTTTATTTTATAATTAAAATAACCAATCGGGTAAATGGAGCACTATGAATACCCTGAACCTGTGGCAAGAAATTCGCTCGGTAACTCGTCAATTTATGTAGGTTCATGTGGTGAGTATAGTGAATGTTTTTATTCACGGAATAGGTTGACGAGAAAATCACCCTGCTTCAAATCTACACCATTGCCATCCCTATATTAGAGGTACTAAAATGATTTTATCTCTTACATTAATACACATATTCTTTTGTATTGATGCCATCCCTCGTAGGAACGTTTAGTTCATGAATTCAGAATTATTTTCATTTTACGTGTATTTTTTGTGAGAAAAAATACTATAATAAATTACGAATTATGATTCGAATCATGGCACGAATTCTTCCCTTTTATAGAGGGTGTGATTAAAGTCTATTATATACATATATGTATTTTTTGAGGTGTGATTGTAGTCTTATTAGTGAAGCCGTTTGAGTTCTTTTTTGTCGTGTTTACAGCTCTCTCTTTTTTTTTTGAGCAAATTTTACAGCGTCTTTAGTCACGCACAAATAGATAAGGCAAATAAAGGCGGGAAATTTGAACAGACACTCAAACTTCGAACAGAGAGAGAGAGAGAGAGAGAGAGAAATGGAGGACTCGCAAGCAATTCTCTGCCACATCTCTTTGCTCAAGGACATGCTCGATCAGGTAACGTTTCGATTTTTTCCTTTCTCTCCGAAGATTTCTCGATCGTAATCGCAAAAACCAGCTAATTGAATTTCAGGTGAACGAAGAAATCGAGTCGAACATCCAGATAACGCGAGAGATCGAGTCCGAGATCGTGAAGTGCTCGGAGATCGAAAAGGCTTTGGCCGCCAGACAGTCAGACCTCACCAAGACGCTTTACTTTTCTCAGTTCGAGATCAACGGTTTGCTCGTCCTCGCTCGTATGCCTTTCCTCAACATCCCCTTTTTTTAGATTTTTCAGTATCGATTCGATTTAGAAAAATCTCAAGAGATTAAGAAGATCGAATGGAAATAGAAAAAAATATTTCTAATTTATTTATTTTTTTGTTTTAATTTCTAGAGGGTTCAAAAAACTCGGTGGAAAATTTGGACAAGCAAATCAGTAGTTTAAGGATGGAGAGGGACGAGATTCTTAAGAGAATCAATGCCAAGCAGTAAGATATAACTAAATCCTGGTTTGAAATCAATGATGATATTGTAACTCGTAATTACTGGACAAATTATAAAACTTCGCCCAACAGTTAATCACTAGTACCAACTTTGCCCTGGCTTTTGCAATGTGCAAATTACTCCCCAGGAACTTGAGAAAGGTAGAAACTTTGGTGTTCCTGTCTAGTGGACGGAAAGGGTTGTATGGTAAAAGTTTTTACTTAATCATGCAAATGATACTTTTCTCAAGTTCAAGAGGTGTAATTGGCACATTTGAAAAATCAGAGGTCATGTTGACACTAGTGAGAAGTGACAAGGGGAGATTTTGTAATTTGACCATAATTTTCTGTAAATGCCATATTTGAGGCAGTTAACGGGGTGATATTTGCATTAAATAAACGGTTGATTAGAGAACAATGTTGATTGAATTGTTTCTGTCTATAGGGAAGGGTTTATGAACCAATCCCTAGAATTCCAGAGAGATATTGACAGTACTGATGATCTAAGGACTATGCTATCAGAGAAAGTGTTTCTTGAGAATGAATATTCTCAATTGGATAAGAAGACGAACATGTTAAAGACTTCAATGCAGGCATTTGTGCAAGAAATTCTTGAAGATCTTCATAATTGCAATTCTGGTTATAGCTCCCCTTTTATCTTGAACTCAATTTTGCACGTTGTTAACATATATTGGTTTCTTTTTGAAGATTTAGGGGTGAATGATAATTTTCTCATTGATCAGAAACGTATATACAGCTTCCTTTTATACATGAAGACCACGGTTACCCTAATGCTAATTACTTCAATTATTAATTCTAACAGAATCGGGGAACAAAGGGAAAAAAGGAAACAAATCAGTAAAAACAGGAAACTAATCAAAACAGAAATGGAAACTAACTAATAGAGATATTGGAAAGTATTCCAAATCTCTTTATTCCTATTCTACTTTGTCAAATATTCTAGGATCTCTGATTCTTAGCCGAGTATTTCAACACTCCCCCTCAAGCTAGGTGTAAATGTTGTTTTAGCTGAGCTTGGAACTCAATTCTTCAAAATTCTTCCTTGGTAGAGCTTTAGTGAGGATGTCTGCTATTTGCTGATTTGTAGAGATGTATAGTAGACTTATGATCCCGCTGTCTATCTTCTCTTTAATGAAGTGTCGATCTATCTCCACATGTTTTGTTCGATCATGATGAACATGATTTTTAGCTATATTGATAGTTGATTGATTGTCACAAACACCTTCATAGGAGATGGGATACCAATCCTTAATTCATTGAGTAACCTGTCTAACCATAAACCTTCACAAATGCCAAGTGCCAGTGCTCTGAATTCTGCTTTTGCACTACTCCGTGGCACTACTGGTTGTTTCTTACTTCACCAAGTAACTAAGTTTCCCTACTTCGCCAAGTAACTAAGTTTCCCCACACATGTGTAATAACCTGAGGTAGACCTCCGATCAGTTATAGATCCAGCCCAATCAGCATCTGCAAACACTTCAATGTCTCTTCTTGTTGTTTTTCCGAAGTATAATCCCTTGCCTGGTGCCATTTTTAGATATCTCAATATTCGGTTGATAGCCTCCATGTGTTCCTCAGTAGGTTCATTCATGAATTGGCTTACCACACTAACTGCGAACCCAATGTCTGGTCTAGTGTGGGAGAGATAAATCAGCTTCCCTACAAGTCTCTGGTATCGTCCTTTTTCCATTGGAGTACTTCCTTCCTTTGCTCCAAGTTTGGTACCTGAGTCCAGAGGCGTCTTAGCTGGCTTACACCCAAGCATGCATGTCTCCCTAAGAAGATCCAACACATATTTCCGCCGTGACATTGAAATTCCATTTCTTGACCGAGCTATTTCCATTCCAAGGAAATATTTTAGGTTTCCAAGATCCTTGGTTTTGAATTCCTTGGCAAGTAGTGTCTTGAGTTTGAACAATTCATCTTCATTGTCACCCGTGAGAATGATGTCATTCACATATACAATGAGAATTGCTATCTTCCCTTCTAATGAGTGCTTAACAAAGACTGTGTGATTTGCCTGGCATTGTGAGTATCCATACTTCCTTACTGTCTTATTGAACTTGTCAAACCATGCTCTGGGAGATTTTTTTAATCCATAAAGAGACTTCTTGAGCTTGCATGCCTTATTTATAGTAGCGTGAGACTCAAAACCAGGAGGAGTATCCATGTAAACTTCTTCTATAAGGTCCCCATTAAGGCAAGCATTCTTAACCTCAAGTTGGCAGAGAGGCCAATCAAGATTTGCAGCCAAAGTAATACCCGAATAGTATTCAATTTGGCTACTGGAGCAAAGGTCTCTTGATAATCAATGCCATATGCTTGAGTGAACCCTTTAGCAACCAGCCGTGCTTTAAACCTGTCCACATTCCCATCAGCCTTGTATTTGATAGTGAATATCCACTTGCACCTCACTGTACGCTTCCCATTTGGTAGCTCCGAAATTTTCCAAGTTCCATTATTCTTTAGAGCCTTCATTTCTTCCCATACTGTTGTTTTCCATTATGGAATAGACATGGCTTCGTGGATGGAGTTAGGAACCTACACCTTGTCTAATTCTGCCACAAAAGTCTGATAGTTCGGCAACAATTTTTTATAAGATACAAAATTGTGAATTGGATGACTAGTACAAGATCGCACCCCTTTCCTTAACGCAATTGGACAATCAAGATCATCAACAATAGGCTCATCTATGTTCACAGAGCTAGTGTTACCTAGCGATAGAGTCTCAAGAACTCTTGGATCCGGTTCAGCCTCTTGATGCTGCTCAGAAGGTGCTTGTTGCTCTACATCCTCTTGGGTTTTCTTCCTCCGGGAATATACAATGAACTCACCGAGAAAAATACATTTGAGGGATTTAGGATCAAGCTTGCTTCTGTGTTGTTGATGGATGTGAACAAACGCGAGAGACCAAATACTTTGAGTGGAATGGTTGAGAGAAGTCTGGTCTTTGGGTATGAAAGGAGAGATTGACATGGGGTTTGAAAGTTTAGGACTCGTGAGGGCATTCGGTTTATGAGATAGGTTGCTGTGAGTACGGCTTCCCCGCAAAAATGTTTTGGAACATGGGTGGAGAACATAAGTGATCTAGCAACCTCTAAGATATGTCTATTTTTTCTTTCTGCCACCCCATTTTGTTGAGGGGTATCAACACAAGAACTTTGGTGTATAATACCTTGATTTGTAGGTATTCCTCTAGAAAATGTTTGAAGTATTCCCTGGCATTATCGGCGCGGAATATTTGTATTTTGGTGTGAAATTGGGTTTGAACCATGGTATTGAAATTCTTGAAGATTTGTTCAACTTCTAATTTTTCTTTCATGAGAAATACCTAAGTAATCCTAGTATGATCACCAACAAACAACACAAACCATCTTGTTCCAGTGATGTTTTTACTTTGAGATGGTCCCCATACATCGCTGTGAATCATTGAAAATGGATTGGATTTTCGGTATGGTTGAATTGAGTATGAACTACGAGTGTGTTTAGCAAATTGACAAATATCACACTGAAAATCTTTTGGACTTTTATTGATGAATAATGAAGGAACAAGTTTTTGAAGGTAAACAAAGTATGAATGGCCTAACCTATAGTGCCATAACATGATTGCACTATCATTATTAGATTGAAAACCAAAACAAGAAAATTTTGTAACTTGTTGATTTGGCATGTCCGAATCTGCCATGTGAGGTTGTTGTTCTTGTGGATGGTCATTCTTGAGGATATAGAGCCCCGAGCACATCTTAGCATTGCCAATCATCTTCTCCGAATCCAGGTCTTGAAATTCACAAGAGTTTTGAAAAAATTTAGCAACACATTTATGCTCGTGAGTGAGTTTACTAATTGATAGGAGATTGCAATCCAAATTTGGGACTAAAAATACGGAGTTTAAGGTAAGATCCTTTCATACAACTACGGATCCTTTCCCTATGACTCTTGAGCGTGATCCATCTGCAATCCTGACGGTAAAGTTCTCATGACAAGGACTATAAGTGGTGAATAGCCTTACGTCTCCAGTCATATGGTCGGAGGCTCTTGAATCCACAATCCACGGTCTGTACATCTCTCGAGTTGTATTGAGGGCATTTAGGAGATTACCTTTATGAGCCAGTGACCCGGTTCCAACTTCTGAGGTATTGGCATGATGCCGGTTGATCAGTTTCTGCAAAAACTCCATTTGCTCATTGTTGAACAGATTCTGCTCGGTTTGTGCAGGGTTTTCTTCGCTGGAGACAAGATTGATGCATCCTTCTTTGTTGTTGGCCTGACCGGTTTCCAATCTACTGGTTTTCCACTAATTTTCCAGCAGTTCTCCTTTGTGTGACCGAGTTTACGGCAATGATCACACCAAGGTTGTCCTCTCTGTGCTTTTGAATCTCCAGTTTGGTGTTGGGGCCCTTGAGCAATTAGGGCGGATGCTTCAGGGCTGTGAGCAGTGACTGTAGGTCCCATCATCACCCTCTTTCGACTCTCTTCCATGCGGACTTATGAAAAAGCTTCTTGAACACTCGGCAGTGGTTTCATCCCCATGATTCTTCCTTGAACTTCATCAAGTTCCTTGTTGAGTCCCAACAAAAACTTATAAAGTCTTTTCTTCTCAACGATCTTCTTGTATTTCATTCCATCTTCTGGGCACTTCCAATTGTGTTCTTCAAACATGTCAAACTGCTGCCAATTCGTTGTGAGGGTGTTAAAATATTGAGTCACAGAAATATCACCTTGACGCAGATCATGGAGAATGCTTTCCACGGCAAACAACTCGGATGAGTTGTCGAAATTGGAGTATGTCTCTTTTACTGCGTCCCAGATTTCTTTGGCGGTCCCATACAGTAGGAAATTCTCCCCAATCTCGTTGGTCATGGAATTGATAAGCCAAGACATGACCATGTTGTTCTCGGCCTTCCAAAGTTTATACTTCGAATCTTTTTCTTCCAGCGGTATTACTGCTCCAGAAAGATAATCTTCTTTCCCTTTTCCACAGACAAACATCATAACGGATTGTGACCAATGGAGGTAGTTTTGGCCGTTGAGTTTATGCCCTGTAATGGACTGAATAAGGCCATCGGAGACTCCATTGTTGCTGGTGGTTACAGCTTCGGAGGAAGAGGTAACTTCTGATGAAGATTGACTTTGGTGGCTCATTGTCATGCCGTACTTTGTCATCTATTTTAGGATCAAAGGAGGTGGCTCTGATACCATGAAGATTTAGGGGTGAATGATAATTTTCTCATTGATCAGAAACGTATATACAGCCCCCTTTTATACATGAAAACCCCGGTTACCCTAATGCTAATTACATCAATTATTAATTCTAACAGAATAGGGGAACAAAGGGAAACAAATCAGTAAAAATAGGAAACTGTGGGAAAAATAGGAGAAGAATTTTTCTTATTGATTCAATAAGTATTGTACAGCCGGCCCCTTAGGGTTTTATACAAAAGAATAGAATCTTCTAGGTTATCCTTTATCCCATTATTCATGGGATATCAGGAAACTACCCGATCACCCTAATCCTAGGGATACAACATTCAAACTTTCCTAATATATCCTATTTACAAAAATAATAAGATTACGTTTTCCACACTCCCCCTCAAGCTGGTGAATATGTGTTCACCATTCCCAGCTTGGACACAAGACCTTGAAACACTGAACTACTTTGTCTTTTAGTGAGTACATAAGCAAGTTGACCCTGT